AGCTAAAAAGGCGATAAGGAGGTTCCGCTTCATCACAGCTATTAATTTAGAAAATTTCAATTGAACAAAAGAGATAGCTCTGAAAATGACCATTGGAGTCAAAGATTTGTGGTTCGAATATTTATCCAATCCTGGAATTCTGAATTTCGCGATTCTTGAGACTGTGCAGAAATCCTCTATGGTGTTAATGTGAACCTTACGCCTTCCTTGAAGGCAGCGATCGCGATAGGTTCTAGAGGGGTTGACAGGGGACGTGGGGGTGCTCAATGGTACGCAATGGCGAAAAAAGCAGAGAAATTCTTCAAGTAAACGCAAAATAGGACCTCCCCTTGTGTGGGCGTTAATTTTCAGCGGATCAGATAAGGTAGGGCTATGGACGAGTTCACCGCAACGCGTTTGGTGACACCATGCCAATCCATGCTCCAGTCGAGTTGCTCCAGTTGTGCCGCTGCTGGCAACGCAGCTCGTCCAAATCACCAAGTAACTAGTGGGCGCTTTTGGGGCGGAGTGCTTTCGAAGTCCTGCTCAGCAACCAGCACCTTTCGTCGTGAAAGCGCCACACCTCGCTTCCTTGGCAGCCAAGTAACTGCTTCGTGTGGCACATATTCTTCCCCGATGCCCTCCCTTTATCGTATCGCTTCCTTCAACACCGCAGACAGCCGTTTTGGAGCTTTAGCTCTTGTTTTCAACTTTCTTGGTCAATACAACTATGCATGAATTCAGTGCGTTCTCAAGCTCTGCTAGTAAGTGCCTTGACTGATTCCCTGAAAAGCCCTTATTATTTCAATGGTGAAACAGATTCTCGAGCACTGGGATCAAGTCGGTTCGAGAGTGGTTGGACTCGAGTAAAGGACCTTGTCTCACAACCTCGCATGTACGTTGAGAAGGAGCCTGAAAGCAAGTAGATGGATGGTCGAAAATGTTGAAAAGCAGCAGGCTTGTACGAAAAACTATAGCTGGTACCAAAAAGGAAATTTTCACTGCGAAGTAACCCAACGAAACATTGTAGCGTTCACTATAGGCTTGGTGCTGTTGTTCGATAACGACGTGATCTTCTGACAGTAGAGCAGATTATTTCTCCGATTTAATCATGCCACTGTACGCTCACTTCATGACTGCACTGCGAAAATTGCAAGAGTCATAATGTGGTATTTCGCAAGCATCATTCTATTCTCCAGTTTTTGAGTTTGGTGGAGTAGTTGATGGCAAGTACATAGTATACTGGTCGCGAATAACCCGGAACTATTCAATCATTTTTTACCAATAAAAATGCTCGATTCTGAGAGTTGATTTCACAGGCTTACATACATATAGCCAGCGCTGGAAGGATTGGTAGAATACATGGCGCATTATGGTGTCGACGATCTTAGTCTCGCCTTATCCGCTTAACAAAGGGCTCTACTGACGATCCCTTTGACTTTTCGATTCACCTCGGAATCTGCCGGCTGCGAGCGAAGGTTATACATCAGTAGAAAATGCCAAAATTCTCAGATGACCTCTTCTCCCATTTTCTATTTCTGTTCTTAATTCCTCTTGTTTAACTTTACCAAAATTCTTTCCAAAGATGTACTGGTTCTACCCCGTACCGTTTCTCTCCTAGCATCTCAAATAGAACCGCTTCTGTC